AAAAAGATGCACAGTCAGCATCAACACAGGAACGCTGAAGTTCAGCGACAGACCTGAACTAAAATATAGATTCATTTGTTACCCTGTTTACTGAGTCTTATGTATTTTCACTTTGCATTTTTACCCAAACATACTTGGATTTTTGCAGTTTCCTTTATTTATTTTTTCCTTTCAGCTGCAGTAGTACGGGGTTGTTTAAATTGTGTCTCAGGTTAACCTTTGCATCGCAGCAGGCTCACAGCAAGTAAGGTAGGTGGGAAATCTAGATAAGTTTTATGCTTACAAAACAAAGCTGAAAATAATACTGTCGGTCAGTGCGTTTAAGAGGAAAAGTCAATCATCTTTTCTGTGTTGGACTGTACGCACCTATCTCAGCTAATATTTGTACGAAATGCAAATGTTTATAGTATGATTTTTCTTTGGTGTCTGAACTGTTTTAAAAATGAAAACATCAAGTATATTAAAAACTAATGAAAAGGCATCTATTACATAATGTTGGACAGGTCATGAAAAATTCTTCTCTATAATTATATCATAAAGATGCTGTATATGAAAAAAAGTAATAAATGACTAAAAAATAATGAATAAGCAGGAGCAACTGATTTTTTTTTAACTTCTTACCTTCCAACCTGGAACGTCCTTCATGATGACTACCTCCTCTTCCAAGTTTTCCCTCAGCATCCGTAAGGTCCTAGCACAGAGACAACATTCAGCTCAGCATTTAAACAGCTGACCTGTGTTTGCAAGCTTAGGCAGTATAAATGATGGACATAGTTCATGTGTCTGAAAAGGTCAATGGCCTTCAATCTGCATTCTTTCTAATGGACAGCAGAGGGCGACTCCTGTGCTTGAAAAAAAAAAAAAACCAACCCAAAGCATTCCCAAATTCCTCTGAGACCCCAGTAAACACTTTCCTGATGTGTTTAGGGGCTCAGTTTGTAGTTTGTGTTTGTACTGAACAAACCATTGAGGCCATTTTGTCAATGAAAGTCAATCTGGGAGTCAGGAAGGAGAAACACCTCAGTTTGAGGCTTCATAATAGAAAATTACAGACCAACATTTAGGTGATCTAAACGTAGGTTGGCTGCCTATGTCTAACTATTATATACAGTCTATTGTTGTAAACACCATTGAAAGAAGAAAAAAAAAAATCATAGTAAGCATGCACAAAAGTGCTCAGTCACCTTCGGTCATGCTCTGCCTGCAGCAGAGGCATCAGAGCTATCCTGGCTTCCAGCTCTTCAATCTGCAGTCGCCTGCAACACACAAACACGCACACACAGTTTGAGACTGAGCAGTGCACACAGGTGTGACAGTAAGCAAAACCAAATCACAATTCATTGACATTTCTTACCTCCTCTCTCTGTTCCACTTGAATAGCCTCCAGTACCCAAAGACCATGATGCCAATGCCAATGCCAAACATACTATATCCTGCAGGTTAAAGAATGAATGAAGCAACAGAACATTGAGTATTAATGCACATTTTTAACATCTTTAAGTAGCTTAAGTAAGTTTACATATGTATTAAAGCATTTACTATAATAATAGCTGCACAGGCTTATGCTGTTCTAACGTATTATACAGGAGAACTCATTGAAATATCCATCAGAGAATTTGCTTTTTAACAACATCAGACCCTGTTGGAGGAGCTGACATTCACATACCGTGTCACCTGCGTTCGGCCACAACTTTGGAAATAAATTCCCATCATTACATGTGGAAGATGTGGAAAACCTGAGTACGCTTCATTTTAAAGCAGTTTCACTGTGATATAAAGTCATCAGACTGCCACTGCTGACTGATGCCTCTTTGAGACTCATTTCAGATCTTTCTCGATACTGTCAAGTAAATGGTGCTAAAATTCAGTGTCCTGTACTGCCCTACAACGCCTTATGAAATTACCATGAAATGGATATTACCACATACTTTTTGGTATAGGGAGGAAAAATGTGTGAAAATTTCACAAACCAACTTAATGAGGTTCCATTAAAACATTTTTCCTTCTTCTTTTTTTCAGATTAACCCATTATTCACATGACGAAACTAATCTGCTCGAGTGCTGGAGTAACAAACAGGAAATAATCTTAATTTAACACTTAACATTAATATGTATAGCATTCTTACTGCAACCACTATCTAGTCATGGAGTTTAACACAGTGTTTATATGCATTTTATACTTTTTACACTTTATATTTTTACTTACCAGCCAAAAGCCAAGCAAGTAAGGTTTTACAACTCAAACGCAGGTGGGACAGTTTAGATAAAAGCGTCTAAAAGTCACTGTTTCTGTAGCTGCTGCTCTCTGAAACTCTTTGCAGTGCTTTTCAGTTGCAGTGTATTCTGATGTGTAGTCTTGTTGGCATAAAGTCTCTTTTTGGGTTCACATTAAAATAACTTTTATTCGTAGTCAGCTTCATTTGAAATCATCTATATAACGTTACTGTCACTAAGAGAGTTTTGTACCAATTATTGTGCCCCAACGTAAAGAGCTGTGCAAAAGTCTTGAGGCGCGCCTGAGCTCTTTATATTTTCTTCCAAGGAGCCAGCCTTTCTCGTAATTTGCAAAGTAGTCTGACCAATCATTCTCCAGGCTTTCTGAAGGTCTATCCAAGCTTTTCTTTGGACATGGCTGCTTTTTCAATAATTTTCAGTCCTCGTACCTGACCACTGTCAAGGGAATGTTTCTTGTGTTTGTTAAGCCACTTAACACTGGGCTTTGAATAAATCAAAACACAAAAAAATGCACTTAACTCAAGGGATGCAACGGTGCTGTGTCTGCACATAACAGACAACTTACCAAAGAACACATTTTAAATTGTATCTTTATGCATTTTGTTACTAGCACCCTGTAACAAAAACCAATTGTTCATTTCTATTCTTTTACTTGAATGTACAATAAAACTCCGAAAGACAACACTGTTTGATAAACATCAAATATTTTTGCACCGACAAGTTAATTGTCAAAGAGCTGAAAGCTTGGCATATTGTAGAATGTTGTGCAGTGTGCACTAAAAAACAAAAACAAAAAAATTCAGTAAACTTGATAAGTAGAGGACAACAGAGATGTCAGGTCTAAAAAAAATATTTACAGCTCATGAACCACATCTGAAAGTCACCCCTGTAAGAAATGACACAGGATCTGAGAGATCAATCTGACCTTTCAACTAATCCATCTACTGTTCGCTGAAGCCTAATCGGAAATTGTGTCAGCAGACATTTTTAATACAGGTTAACAGAGGCACAGACGTTAGGTCTCAATGGTTGGCTGTCAAGTAGCCATTCCTGATAAAAGGAAACAGGGAGGAAAGGCTCAGGTATGTCAGATTACCCAAGAACTGGGCTGATCATCAGTGGTAACGTCTCTTGTGGAGTGATAAATCCAGATTTGAAATTTTAGCTTCAAATGAAGTCAACATGTAGAGAGGAGACCATGAAAGGGGTACATTAGAGTGTCTACAGCCATATGTAAAACAGGATATAGGCTCTGTCATGTTTTGGAGCTGCATTTCAGCCAGTGGTGTAAAGACCTTGTGAACACAGTAAAGAAGTGTGGTTGGATTCTGACCCATCGTGCAACACAATCTGGTCTTTTAGTATGTGCTGTAAATGCATGCCTGTATAAAAAAAACCCACAGTAGTGGAACACTATCAGCCATGGACTGGCCTCCCAAAAGCTCAGACCTCAACATTACTGAAGCAGTGTGGGATCATGTTGACTGAGAACAGAACAAAAGGGGACAGAAACACCCAAAGAAGAGCTTTGAATGCCCTTCAAGAAGTCTGAAAAAATATTCCTGAATACCACTTCAGACTACGCTGTCCTAAGAGATCATCTCAATCAATTAACTTAAACTTAATCAAGTAGTTGATTTTACGGCTTTAACACTGTTAACCAAGCAGCAAACGATAGAACAGCTAGAACAGTTTCATCAAATAAAACCTAACCCTCCGTTTAACAGTAGGCATTATCACGTTAACTGAACCTGCAAATTAAACGACTCCCTGTGTTAGCTAGTTAGCATGTCGTTCTAAACCTGTCAACAACAATTCACATTAAAATGTTGCTCTGCTACAAAAACACTTGTACAACTGTTGTCGTGCTGTTAATGAAGATGTTCCTTTTAACGACAAGGATAAATGTAAGACCCCGCATACACATTTTATCTTAGTTTGGATCTTTGTATTTATGCTAACGGGTTAGCGTAACCAGCAAATATCACCTCAACTATCCAACATTTAACAACTGCTGAATGACTCTAAATGTCTGGCTACGTGAGCGTGTGGCGTATGTACCCGAAAGTCCTCGTTTAGGTAGATTTCTCTTATAATCAAAGGGAGCATAGCCTCCCGGAGGAGGCATGTCCTGCTTCACCTTGGACCCCGCCATCTTCCTCCAACCTCCTCCAAAACACGCCAGTGACGTCCCTGAAGACACTCTTCTTCGCTGGTAGAGAAAAACTGTAGCAGCGCTCCAGCGCCCCCACATGTTCGGACATATATTATATTATATTATATTATATTATATTATATTATATTATATTATATTATATTATATCCAACTGTAATGTTAACATATATTTTATAAAAATGTTACATAATGTTCATTTTTTTATGTTGATGTGGTAAAGTGATAACTATAATGCAAATAACAGAATAAAAACATAAATATTCTATAGCAAAGAAATGCCCTGAATCTGAGTAAAAGTACTTAAAAAGCGTATAGAAGCAAAGATGGATTTCCTAAAAAAAATCATGTTGCAAAAAATGCCAAAAGAAAAATGCTTGTTGAAATATCAACAAGCATCACTGTTGCTTGTTGATATTTCCATTTCATCATGTGATTTCTTGCTGGCTTTGATTTTAGATTCACCTGTTTAATTTTGGACTGAAACACCAGAGGGGCCATTAGCTACGCCTCCCTCGTATCAAGTTTCAGAACTGCCTTAATTCTTCATGGCACAGATTCAACAAGAAGCTGGAAACATTCCTCGGAGATTTTGAGCCATATTGACATGACAGTATAAAATGGGATGTGGTGTGTTTCACCACATCCCAAAGCTGCTCTGTTGGATTGAGATCAGGTGACTGTAGAGGCCATTTGAGTACAGATGACCTAAGCTTTGTGACATGATATGTTACCCTGTTGGAAGCAGCCATCAGAAGGCGGGCAGACTGTGGTTTTAAAGGTACGGATATGGTCAACAACAATACTCAGGTAGGCTGTGATGTTTAAATGATGCACAGTTGGTACATTGGAGCATAAAGAGCACAGACAATACATCCCCCACATCAAGACACCACCATCAGCCTGATCTGCTGATACAAGGCAGTGTGGATCCATAAATTCATGTTGTTTATACCAAGTTCTGACTCCAACATCTTAAGAAATCTTGATTCATCGGCCCAGGCAATATTTTTCTAATCTTCTATTGACCAATTTTAATGGAGTCATGCAACCTGCAGCCTCACTTTGCTGTTCTGATCTGACAGGAATAATACCTGATGTGGTCTTCTGCTGCTGTAGCCAGTCTGCTTCAAGGTTGGAGTGGTGTGGTTCACCGATGCTCTTCTGTAGTCCTTTGTTGAAATGAGTGCTTAAAGCTGTCTGGCCATTCTCTAGACTCCATCTGATCTCTAACATCAGAGTATTTTCTTCAACAGAAATGCTGTTCACTGGATCCCAGTAGATTAGCAGTTTGTGAAATATGCCAGCCAGTTTGGCACCAACAACTGTGCTGCATTCAGTCCCTTAAAAAAATAAAATCGCCCTTCTTCCTCAAATTAACTTCAGCAGGTCATCCTGACCACATCTACATGCATAGTTGCTACCATGTGAATGAATAGATATTTGTTAACAACATACATATGAATTTCGATTCTAGGCCCATAAGAGCAAAAATGTCACAGAGACAGTGATATCCCAAAACAGCAAACGAAAGCAGCAGTTTAAAATGTAATATTTTTTATTATTTCTTTCAGGAGCTAGGAAAAAAGTAAACCAAATAAATTTAAACATAACTTTGTACATTGCAATTAAAATTACTGGAAAGCAGAGAAATTATGCATTATGGTGAGGGGCACAAGATAACGATGGTCTTGTGTAATCCAGAGTCTTAATCTTAATTGTGTGATCACACAACTCTTTAACTGTGTAATCCAGGAAGCTGGAAGATGTTTCCTTTAAGGACTGAGTCGAGGCTACATGTAGCCCGTGTCTCACGTGGACAATGGATAAATATCGGAGGCAAGATTTCTGGCTCCAGTGTGGCGAATTCAGCTCCTTCAGAGTTTTGCATTTTCTCAGTGATGATGTAACACTCAAAATAATCTTACAATGTTGACAATATAAAATAAGCAAATTACAGATGGTAATTACAGATGAATTAAGCAATGACACCACGCTTCTTCAGCTAAGGTGCAAAATGGGCTTAAGGATAGGCATGCCGTTAAACAGGAAAAAAAAAAAGAAAGAAAAGAAAAAACAAAGCTAGAATAATCTTCATTTGTGGAAACCACATTATACTGAGTGATCTTAAACATCAGTCCAAGAAAAAAACAAAAACAAAAGGAAAAACAAAACCACAAAAATAACTTACGGTAAATACAAAGTAAACTCAAACCTTTAACTACATGGGTGGTGTAATGAAAATTTTACAACTTGGTAATTTTGCTTTTACTTAAAATAAATGTGTATTTTGTCGAACGTGAACTCTTGGGTGTGATACAACTATTCAAGTGTCAAAAGGTTGGGTGCGTTTCACCCACATCATGGCAGAAAAGGGCTAACAAGCCTCAAACAGAATGCTTATTTTTATCAAAGGTACTCGCAGCAGACATAACCGCCTATCGTACATCATCATTTGAACGACCCTGTCTGGAGGACAGAGCCCAGAGGAAGCCCTTCAAGTATTTTCTTCTCTGCCCAGTCAAATCAAAATGGTTTCTGCACAATTATCAAATAACGATGAACCCCAAAAGAAGAAAAAAAAAAACATTGGAAAATAAGCAAAACTAAAACAAGAATCATACAAAGGTATTAATTAAGGAACGTTTCTTCACTTTGAGAGATTGTAATTGCTTAACAAGTCCTGCGGGGGCGCTGTGGACCGTATTATTGGAGCTGAGGAACTTGGGACAAAAACTAGTAAATGAGTAGCGGAGTACGGCTTCGACTATTTCCACGTGTTTGCAGTCTGCGAGATTGACGAGCGAGAGGGGATCATGTCCAGCAGGTACTCCCTCTGGCGAGCGTCCACTGTGGCTGATGTCTTGTGACCCGTCAGGCTGGGGTTCACGTAGGCCATGGTCACTCCTGTGAACATGCAGCAGAGCGGCAGGTCAGGTCAGGGCGTGGAAAAGAACTGCGGCGTTACGTCTAATGATTTCGAAAAAACACTGTATGATTGTGTAACACCTGAATGTAAAGCCACCCACGGCCCCATAACGCACGGACAGACACCAAGGAAAAACGAATGAGAGTTATGCGCTAATCTAACACACAGTAGTGAGACCCAGGAAAAAGTATTAAAACCACCAAACTGAGGGATTACAGCAGGAAAACAGATTAATTTCCAGAAGGGGTGGGGGTGGGGTGGGGGGTGCCTTGTCCGAAAACATTTCCTATTCATCATTTTCTTTCTAATGTGTAAGATTACAGTGATCACAATTTTTTTCCTCTTTAGAAAGAAGACAAATTAATGATAAAAATAAAAAAAAGTTGGATTTGGGGTGTCAAAGGATTGCTTTTGGACCAGACAGGAATTTGAGAGAGAGCAGATGTCAGGCGTCAGAGTTGGGCTGGTATTAATGTGAGTCTACCTGTGTTGCTGCTGCTCTGCTTCTTCCATGCAGTGGATGAGGCACTACCTCCGCTGATAATCCTGTGGCCGCGGATTCCACTGCTGCTCACCTTTGAACTCTGCACAGAGCGGTGGGAAACATGGGCGTGCTTACCTGGCCGGCTGACCAAAGCCGCGGCCGCCACTGCGCTCTGCAGCTGGGAGGTGGAGGAAAAGGAGTGGGGGATGCCTCTCACCCCCACTGATGAGACACCGTGGGACAGGTGGCCCTGTGAGCTCTGAAGGAGGTTGGGAGACACAAAAAGGCTGTTTGAGCTACGGCAGCTTTGACTCTACAGGTGTTCTCTGAAAAAAACGAGAACAAAACCTGATTCCAACCTGCTTGATGGAGTGATGATGAATGAGGTTTCCTCGGCTGGCCTGGTGGTGGTGCTGGAGGGAGGACACTCTGGCCTGAACTTGCTTCAGCTGCTGAGCCACCAGATGCTCTGCCTTCAGTGATGAAGAGGCAGATGAAGTGGATGATGAGGTACTGTGGGAGACTGGTGAAGATGTCTGCTGAATTATACGCTGCTCTATTTCTTGCTCTTGCTGCAGTGCTTTGACAAAGGCGGCTTTCAGCCTATTGGTATGCTCAGCTTTCAAAGCTTTTTTCTGGTTAGATGACATGCAGTCTTCACAGAGCACCGCCCCGCCTTTCGTCTTGTCCTGCCTCCAACGGCAGGTGAAGTCAGTGTTGCACTGGCTGCAGATGAAAGGCTCTCTGATGGTGGGCTTGGGCAGGGCTACACCCGTTTTTCCTGGTTGGAAACAGAGACAGGAAGCCCAGAAGCAATGAGCAAAGACAGAGCAGTGTGGCATCAAATAAGCACTGAAGAAAAACAGACACAAGCAGACAGATATTTAAATCCTGGGTGATAGTGGAGATGTCTTCACTCGGAAGGAACAATAGAAACAAAAATAAGCAGGCCAATTAGTAACAGGGGGAGGACAGCAACTAATCGCTATTTTCATTTTCATTACTGAGGAACATGACAGTTATTTTCCTAATTAATCAGTTAATTGCTTGCTTGCCCCAAAATGTCTATCAATATTTCCCAAAGCTGATCGTGATACCACAAAATTGCTGTGTAGCCAGAGATACTCGTTTTACTACCATACAAAATAAAAAGATGTTTGTTTTCTTATTTCGGATTATGTGATTGTTTCAATTGCTTTTAGGCAGATAATATAAGCAAGAAGTATGCTTACATGATGTACATACTGTGAATGCCTGCTTTTGAAACCTTAATAAAAAAAATCTAAATTAAAAAAATAAATAAATAAATAAAAATAAAAAGAACAAACTGTTAAAACCTAATTGCTGCAAAAGGAGACCGATTGGCAACCCTGATTATGAATGCCTTTAGTGATCACGTCTCATTATTGTTCTGTTGAACCACAGCTCAGTTCACCTCTATAACAACAAAACAAAGCAAAGCACCAAAAGCTAAAAATCCACACATACCTCTGTGGATGGTATCCAGCAGATTCTGCACCACTTCTTCCAGTCCCACCAGGTAGATGAATTCATTATTGGCTGCAGAAGGCAGGAAGTTGAACTCTGGGGCAGGTGGCTTGGGTGGAGGGATCTCCAAGAGGGTCTTCTCCAGTTGCTTCCGCAGCGCGAGTTTAGCTGCAGCCTGACGGCTTGCCGGAGAGTCATTCAGACCCACCACAGACACACCGCTTCCTAGGGAAGAGCCCTTCAAACTGGATGAAGAGGCCTGTGTAAACAAGCAAAGACAGGAAGAAACACGTGGTGTAAATATTCAGCCCCGACCACAATAGTGTCTCAAAGCTCTGTCACAATGTATTTCACATTTGTGCCAATGTCAAATACAACACAATACACAAAATCTGACTCATCTGATGATCTGACTACAAAAATACCTGCTACTTATCAAAGATGCTGACTTCACACACACACACCTGGTCAGTCAACCTACTTTATTCCCCGGACTTTATCGTTACTCTTTGCCTGTTGGTTCTCCAGAAAAAGTCTGTTATGGGTGACTGTGCCATGTTCTCCTGTAGTCAGAAGTGTCCTGTTTAAGAGGCACCGACCTAACGGCCAACTGTCCTGGCCAGAGGACCCTTCTCTGCGATTGGTTAGCCTGGCTCAAAATGAACTCTCCATTGCAGTAACTACACATAACAGTCTAATCTATGTTTCAAATTTATTGCTTCAGTAGCAAGGCTAAGCTGGTCAAATGAGTGACGAAGCGCATCATCTGCCTGAGCACAGTTTGTGAGCCTGAGCATCAACAGGCTTCAGAGTTTTTATTCGAACGATACATTAATCAATTTCTTCCAAGTTTAATTGAGGACTGGGAGAACTTGCTGTCTGCCACCTAATGCAGCCCTGTGGAAAAATAAGCTGGCAGAACTTCCTTTAGCGGCAGTAACGTGATGTAATCATTTTCTGCATGACTTCCTCAGTCTGTCATATTGCTGTGGAGGAATTCTGTCCCACGCTTTCATTTATGCACAGCTCTCTTAAGGTCCCACCATAGCATTTCACAGTCTGCCTGAGGTCTGGACTTTGACTGGGCCATTGCAACACCCGATTCTTTCCTTTTTCACTCATTCTGTTGTAGATTTGATCATTGTTCTGTTGCATGACACAACTTGAACCAAGCTTTATCTGTCAGATAGACGGCCTCACATTTAGCTCTAGAATACTTTGGTATACACAAGTGTTCACGCTCCACTCAGTGACCAGGAAACCATCACCCCTCCACCAGCGTGCTTCGCAGTTGGTATGCCGATATGCTGTGTTTGGTTTTCGCTAAATATGGTGAAACATTTCCACTTTGACCTTGTCTGTCCAAAGCACATCATTGTTTTTTGAGGTTTCTGAGCATTGCACAGTCTGACCTTGAATTTGCTGGGACGACCACTCCTGAGTAGATTGTGACATTGTGTGTGTTCACCCACACCTGAATGCTCCACACCAGCAAACTGCCAAAACCCGTTTTCATAAAGGTGCTCACGCTTACTGATGATCAATTAACCAAGTGCATCTGATCAGGCTGCTACATGCCTTCTGAATTCCTATTGAAATGGGCAGTGTTCATTTTCACATGACTGTACATCTACAGGCTGACGGTACATCTTAGTCAACCCCTACAAGTAACAGTTTCCATTAACCGCCCGGCTTCCTATGGACTGGTAGATAAGGGTTCTTATTTGTTTTATTTTGAAAACTAAATGTGAGCTAACCAACCGTTTAGACTTCACTTTTTGTACATTCTGCACACTTGATTGCACCTCAGCGTTGTAGATAATCAATGAAAGAAGTAGTTATTGAGTGAACCATTCAAGATTTCTGACTGAATTCCCATCAGTTAAATTTAGGATTCTTTGTAATACTAAATGCTGAAGGCAACACATACACCAACGTGCAGTGGCTACAGCTTTCTCAGTTATAATCAGAAGCAATTTGAACTCTACACATATCAAATTTAGACAAAGTAACAAAACTTTAACTTCATGGTATAATACATCCTACGCTTCCAGCCTGGAAGAGTGAATCACTTCTCTGCCCACTCTTGTTTTTTTTTACATTGAGGGACCGGTGACATACTAACCAGCGTGCTGCCGACTCTGATGAGGCCTGGTTGGATCATTCCTCTCTGGCCCTGGACGTCAGAGTTCCGGGGACCCAACAGCAGAGGAGGAGGACCAGACCCCGAGCCTCCAGAGGCAGCCAGCTGTTGCTGCTGCTGCTGGCGGAGAGCCTGAATCTGCTGTGGAGACACAGAGATGGGCTAACCACGACAATGAGAGGGGCAACACAGACACAAAGGTAGCGGAGGACGAGGAAAGGACATCAAAAAGCACCAAAGCAAAGAACACACAGAAAGAGAGGGAGGCGCAAAGGGAGAACATAAGTCCTACGTTTAAATATAACCTTTCCCCTATAGTCTGTCTCTTTAGAGCAAAAGACAACACTACCACGAAACACCTTCAGGCTATAATTAACTTGACAAGGATGAGTTTTCCCATGACTCACCTGTGCCCCTCTAACCAGAGGTGGCATGATGATCTGGGAGCCATGTTTAGACGATATCTGCTGCCCTCCTCTCACCAGGGGTGGAGGGATGACAGTACCCGAACTCCTCCCTGTCAAAATCTGGTTTAAAGAAGAAAGAGAAAAAAAAACAAAAAAAAAAAAAACACACTGTGAGAAGTGGCATCAACTACAGTGCAACTGTGCTTTCAAACAAATAATGTGCATGTGTGATATTAGTGTATTAACCTGTGGAGAGCCTTTACTGCTTGCAATTGTTCCTCGAATTAGAGGAGGAGGAGCAGATGAGCCAGATAAACCTGAGGGCTGAAAAACAACGTACAGAGATATTAAACTGAAACGATGCTTCACTCTGCTGAACAGCACAAGCTTAGATGAACCAAATGTTGAATCGCATCGTCAATCAACATATAAACAGCGGCTGTCCCTGTCAACGACATGAACTGCATGTAACACATGGTTTATCTGCACCATCAGGCATCACCTGCATTATTCAACAGTCATCATGGCTTTAACCTATATATTTGAATAAAACCTGACCGAGAGTCGTTATCACTTTTTAAAATCGTTTATTTACTTTGTTATGTAACAATTATGAGGCTGTTGTCATGGTTACTGTCAGTTTTACTTAATAGAAGACGCAGATTAGTGCGGTTTGTTGTGTCATCTTTCTGTAACCAACGTTTTTCATAAATGTATTTAATCACATAGTCTTTTGTTGTTTACGTGCTTCCTACCACAGTGACTTGAGCCGTTGGACAGTGCTCTGCTGTTTCCAGCATTTTGGATTCATCCGATTTCATTTTGGATGGATTTGACACATAAATCAAAGACACTGCATGCTCATGCAGTAGCAACCCTAACGTATACATCACAAAATGAACATTGTGTTCCTCCCCCAGCCCCTCTGCTGGACATTAGAAAGAATGCAGGTTTTAGCCACGTCTGCATTGGCTTCACATTTTCGACCCATCTTTTCTCTGCCTTCTGTGCATCTCCTTTGACAAGTTTGACTTTAGTCATTTACAACAAATTATCATCAAAAGAAAAAGAAAATGTGCAGACGACTCGTATAATCTGAAGCTGTAGGTGAGAGATTGTAGGAGAGGCTTTTAATGTTAAGGGCCAATTTGTAGCTGCTGCTGCTCCCTTACAAACTCACATTGTGGGTTGGTGTCTTTTAGACTTGACTCCTTTTTCTAACCTGATGCGTGTAACACAATACTGAAAATTCAATAAATGAATTAAAATATTCTGAATATAATGAACTAGAGGGCTGATCTCATATGTGTTAGCCAAATGACCGTACATTAAATCAGCTCAACCTAGAAATCATCCAACACTGAACACACCTATGACCTCCCAACTGGCTCAGTCACATGAGTGACAGGAACCCCTTTGCCTCTGCTGACTGTATTGAATTTTCACACAGGCTACCAATTGCAAGTTGGGGTTATTAAAAGTGCTTGATTGTGTTGCACACCCATGACCGCTTTTGATCGCAAAGTGATTGCACAGGTCACCTGATACGAGGCAAACCTTTCTGCAAACAGTTGCAGTCTAACTCTCAGAGAGTCGAAGGTTGGCAAATAACTGCTGTCTGATTTATACATGCATCAATCTGAACAAGTTTTGTCGATGAGCACACTCAGGAGACTCGACTCAGCTGGTTATATTCTTGTTGAACAGGAAGTCTGCTGAGCACAAATGTTAAAGAGTTAAAGTGAGCTTCTTTTTTTATGTAGAGGGCAACAAATGTGATTTTCAATGATTTATCGCTGTTAATTGCTGTATTATCAGAAACAGATAGAATTGCCAACATGAACACATTCAAATGCAGTCAGATAGACTGACTGTATTATGGTAACATTTATGGGAGATTTTAGTGACAGCGTTGGGATACTTCACAATCCACAGAAAACTGTGCAGGAACTAGAAGAGAATCACTAAAGATCAATGACCTGTTGGCAGATTTGTAATATTATCCCATCAATATCTATCCCTACACGTGGAAGAGTGCAATGATGTGTTGATGTGGGCGAAAGCTGCTAGTTACCTTCTGCAGAGTGTCCCTCTGAATTTGGCTCTGCCGCAGTTTCTTCAGCAGCACGAGCTTGGCCTCCTCCAGTCTCAGCTCCTCCTTCAGCTGCTTAATGATACGCTCCCTCTCAGCTGGGCTGCTCTTCTACATTCAACAGAGCACAGCGGCACTTACACCACGCACGTTACAAAAAAAAAAAAAAAAAATGAAATCCCTTCAGGTTACTGAACATCCCCTGATTCCTCTGAGTCCTCAATCCACCTCTAACCACACAGTGCAACATCTCTGAGGTCCAAACTTGCACCCCCAGTACTAAAATCTATAAAAGCTCACAGCTAAGTGAGTCTCGAGCTCTCTCTTCCAATGCACGATTTCTGACTTTGGTCTCTCACCATGAGCAAGTCCGTGTCCAGCTCTTTAAAGTGGCTGAGCCCGTTCATCGGTGGACTAGGGGAGTCATTATCTGACAAAATGATGACGTCATCATCTTCAGGGGATGGAGGGCGCTTCTCTCTTTTTATACTCCTGGACAAAAAAAACAAAGAAAACAAAAATGTTAATAACAGCATTTAAATTGATGTTTCTGTACGGATTACATCCAGTGTGTTCCTTCAGTACTTTGAGGGATGTTATGATCATCCTACTCCACAGCTTGACCATTTCACTTCTTTCTATCATCTCTCTATTCTAGTCAAAATTCAAAAGATGCATCATTTGAATGTGTTGTGCATGAATGTGTATACTCTTGAAACATCAGCATCCCCAGTGAAAAATCACAAATGTGATTTGAGTTTAAAGACGGGATTTAGCTGCGCCGTTCGAGTTCGCAGTGGCAGATCCGGATAGGTTGAGAAGCTTCAGAACGTGTATGGCAGTTTGAAGGAAGATAAAGCACAACTCGACCGCTTCAAGTATTGGCAGCCATTACTAATGCCTGTATTTAAGGAGGTCTGCTCCTCAACCACAAATATAATTTATGACCACAGGTTTATCCTCTTCGCTGTAATCTAACAAGTCCAGACAGCGCTCCGCACAGCTTCTATTCATATCGAAGGTTTACCAGCAACAAGGGGAACAGGCTTAAATGCCAAGGAGGGGCAAGGTGTGACTGACTTAAAGCTCCGGTGAAGGTCTTTAAGTCACAATGAAACGGCTGCTTGAGAGCACGCATTTCCTGTTGAAACAGGATACTGTGGGCAGGCGTTTGAAGCATTTGGAGTTGACCTGCATTCGCGTAAACTCGTCACACAAGGCACGCTAAGGAAATCTTGGAGAATTTTGGGATCAGTCATCACTTTTATCTACAAAACCACATCGTTATGCACATTTTACTCATGGCCTCCCCTCCAAACACTTACAGCTCCTACTGCAAAGTGACTAGTTGAGCTGCAGGCTATATGTGAGAGTAGATGACCTAAATACTTTGACTAGTGGCACTCAAAGACTGAAGGGCAGGAGGAATGCTCCTGTTAAAATAAGACAGGCCTTATGATTGCACAGATTATGCATTTCTGTGAAGCATAAGAATTTGGTAAAGTCAACAAATGACGACACGCGGCCCGTCTCTTCTCCTCGCCGTCTTTTTTTTGTGTGTCTGTGTGTTTATTCATGTGTGTATTAGTCTCTCCTGAGGGCTTAGCGCCATCATCACTTCCTGTGGATTAATCACTTCTCTTCCAAAGAAGTCACGTGACCTCAAAGTCATCATCACGTGACACGTTCACTTTTCCTCTCATCTCTCCCCCCCTCCCCCTCCCCTCACTGTTCCTTCCACTGTGGAAACCATGGCAACAACCGGCTGGAACCAGTTTGTGACACACACGGCTTCATTTTGTGTTCGGGGAGTTTTTAGGGTTCAGGTGGTGGAGAGGGGGGAAAATGGAGGTAGAGCAAAAGTTCAGCATCACCTCTGAGCCACAAACACACACACGCAGCAGGATTACAAAAGTAACTTTGAAACATTTTTAGCCCGTTCATATTCAAACAAGCTGCCATTTGTCCTTTTCTAAAAGCCCATAAGTGGGTTTTTAGAACAAAAAGTCTAGACAAGGAGCCGGCAGTGCTTCAGAAAAGCCACAAGGCACCTTCACATTATTATTTTTGTGTTTACTGTGAACCGTTTCTCACCCTTTGGTGGTGCTCATGTCCACGGGCTGCTCTCCTGTCTGAACTTCAACCTTAATAGTGGCCTTTACTTCCCCTGCGGCCAGCATGCCGCCGGACGCCTTTGGCTCCGCCTGCCGGACGCGGCTCCTTGTGTCCATTGCCCTTGCTTTGTCATTGCAGTCAGTCCGATTGTCTGAGCCGGGTTCGACCACCTCCTGTCTCTGGGACCAATTCCGATCATCCTTCACCGGCTGAGAGGTCAAGGGTAACACTAAAGATAACGGCAAAGGGCTCTTATCCTGCTCCTGCTCCTTGTCATGCTCTAATCCGGGCCTAGTCCGGCTCTGACCATCCTGTGCCAGAATAAGGTCAGGCTTAGGTTTAATTGGGGTCTGTGTCGGCGATTCAGACGGGTCCAGTTTAGGTTTTTTGCTTTCATTGTCGGCATCGGAGGTTTCTACAGACTGTGGGGCAGCCTCCCTCTCCAGCGCCCTCTTCTGGCTGCGTGTCTGGCGGACAGCCTCCTCAGACATCCCCTGTAAATAGAAAGAAGAAGAATAACAGTGTTACGTGACGTGTTCAATAGTCAAGCGGATCCCAAAATGACATGAAAACAAAAAAAAAGTTTACATTGAAAATAGGGAGCATAAAAACTTCAGTAAAAGGAAATGTCCATTTTTATTGTATGAAGTTGGAAAACACCACTTAGGTATATTTAAGATTCTACTCAGTCAAAAAAAAAAACAACAACTTTTAAAATCATATTTCCATTTCTAAAAGAACTGAAAGTGAAAGTCCTTGTATTTAATTTACATTACCCATTTATAGTCACATGCTTATGGCCTACATCAGGGTCAACGTAAATATATATTTATAAAAATAAAAAACTTTAAAAAATGTGAATAAACTACCTCAAAGTGTTTTGAGTGGATATGTCTGATGTTGGGTGAGACAAAATTTAAACACCACCCCTCAGCTGCACTTTTCCAGCTCATGGCTGCGTCACATACCACCTTGTTTTCCACTGGACACTCCCTTTTTGCCTTGACTGACTATGATCGTATGATATTAGGCACAGCCGTATTGCCGCCTCATTGGCAGATCTTTATGTGACTTATGTGACACTTGCCAGCCCTTTTTAACTTCTCATTAACACTGTTATCTAATCACTCAACACGGCAGCGACTCAGTTTATTTAGGCATGTACACATGGTCAAGACAATCTGCTGAAGTTCAAACTGAGAATCAGATTGAGAAAGAAAGGGGATTTAAGTAACTTTGAATGTAACGTTGCTGTTGCTCCCACAGGGGTTGGCCTGAGTATTTCAGAAACTGCTGGGATTTTCCTACACAACCATTTCTAGTGTTTACAGAGAATGGTCCGAAAAAGAGAAAATATCCCGTGGGCAGCAGTTCTCGGAGTAAAAATGTGTTGTTAATGCCAGAGGTCAGAGGAGAATGGCCAGACTGCTTCGAGCTGACAGGAAAGCAACACTAACTTGTTACAACCAAGGTATGCAGAGGATCTCTGAATGCACAACATATCAAACCTTCGAGCAGATTTGATACAGCAGCAGAAGACCACACCAACAGTAAACTGAGACTTCACACTTTCATCATTGAAAGTGCACAACAGGAGGCTGCCTGGTTCTATGAGGCTCGATTTCTGTTTCAGCAATCAGATGGTTGGGTCAGACTAAATAACATGAAAGCATTGAACCATCCTGCCTTATACCACTGATTCACAGTGGTCATAGAGTAATGGTATGGAGGATATTCTCTTGGCACGCTTTGGATCCCACAGTATTAACTGAGCATGGCTTAATTTTATGATCAGTGTACCCTTATACAAAGCTCAAATAAAAGCTCAAACTGGTTTCTGACTGGTTAAACATGAACGGGAGGGTCACATCATGGATGTGCAGCTACAAAAATTTACAGCAACTGTGTGACACATCAGTATGGCCCAAAATCTGAGGAATGTTTCCAAAAGACAGACAGACTACACTAGCAAATTGGATGTATTCTGTCAGTGACTGGTGGTTTTCCATTTCATCTACTCTGCATTTATCCTATTGAGCGTGTAGCGTTTGATGTTTTACAGTGACCCTGATGCGAGCTATAAGGTAAAATATGTCGGCCAATTAATAAAGTGCTGCCGGAACTTTAATTTCTTCTGATCGCACATCCTTAATGTGGTAATCTCAGGCACACAGCTCTGAGTGCAAGTGCAGCAGCCTCACCCAGCTGCTCTTCAAACTTCCTGTTAGTGAGGGGCAGCCAATCAGAAGAAAGCTATCTTATAAGGAAAGGTGATAAACCAGCTTATTTCAGACAGTGGATGAATTGAGGGGCTGCACCAAGGCACAGAGTAAGACAGATAAAGGTTATGATGAACTGTTAGAAGAAAAATAACAGAGCCCCTTTTATTTAGGCTGTAGTCCAAGTCACATGCCATTCTCACAAGGCTAACACGGTAGGAGAAACCTGCAGGTCTATTACCCAATAATAAATTAAGGCGTCTATTTTACCCCAACTGCATTTGCGATTGTCCTCATGTTGTTCAATAATGACGCAGACAAGACTGACCTTGAACCAGCTGCAGGGGACATGCTCTAAAAATGGCACCCAGACAAAACATCTTGGATTATCACGGTCACATAGCCAAGATGTTGACTCAAGTATAATTCCAAAACATCCCATTCTCCAAATCTCAGTCTAGACTAAAAGCCAGGAGAAAGGGGGACACTAGGAAAAATATGGGCGTACTCAGAAAGTGCTCAAGTGTTCAGGGCAAAATAGAAAATCAAAAAAATGCACTTGAGAGAAGCAGAAAGGTCTTTTGAAAGAGAGAAGAAAAAAAAATGCTGCAGAGAGATAAAACATCTATGACAACATCGTAATCAAATCAGAGTTAAAGGGACTTGGGGTAGAGCGAAAATTCACTGGAGCATGAATTCTGTTCAAATATTCATAACAACTCATGAATCCACATATTTTAGAAATGTACGTCTTCACGTGGAGGGATTTTTCATTGGCTGCGAGGAGCTCACGATGCGTATACAACTCTTTCTGAGTGGAGCACCATATCCATTACTGTCCAATATCCCCTGAACACCAGATTCAATCCCCACCAGATGTTGACATGGCAGCAGTAGTGGAGATGAGGACATACAGCGGCTCGCTCTGTCAGGCGGACGAGCATTACAGAGTGCACTTGTGCCCTCGCAGAAGTGCACCAGTACATGGCACATAGTGTCACACATTATCCCTACAGTAGCTGCTCTGAATCACTCAGAGTCGGGTCAGAAACGAGAGCGGACGCACGGGATGACGGCAGATACTCCACATCAGTCAATACATGCTGATGGTTTTGATAATGGCCTATCAAACTGTTTGGCTGTACATCTCTGATGCATTTTCATATCAGTGGATATTGACCCATTTATCCATAATAGCATCCTGTGCACTAAGAAAAGACTTACAAAAGGGTCAATCATCCCACTGATGACTCTGGATTTGGGCACGTGCCTCTGAGGTGTTTTCTGCCCCATCAAGTACACATGATGCTGTATTATCTAAACACCAATATGCCTAAATATAGGTATAGTGTGAGATTATAAAGACAGAATATGACTCATAATTTCCATTACTAGTGGTGCTGATTATGCCGCGTACTTACATACTGTAGTTTGGTACAAGAATGATGCTGGTGATATGATCACAAAGGATTTACTCAGAAATTTTTATATCCAGAGCAATAGCAAAAAGCCAGGTAAGGCTCGCTATTGTTCACTGTGTACACACTCATTGAATTGGTTATTATTGAATGTGTAAAAAGGCAAATGTTGATCCATATGGCATGCTACACACAGAGAGTAGACAACCTGTGCTCAAAGTTCACAGGATCTCAAACAGACAGCACATTCAGAGATGCACAAGGGATCTTGCTCTCTGCTGGAAGAGCATGAAGAAGCAGCAGTGCACCGCAGTTATGTACTTATGCATATTTATGTCTTTATGTTACAGAATCAAGAGCCAGTCCTCCCAGGACTGTGGAGGCCCTCAGTCTGCCCAGCGACGCGCCACAGGAAGCTACGTTCCTTTTTTTGTTTTGTTTTTTTGGAAGGGTGTGGGAAGGAGGGGGGTTTCGCTACAATTAACCCTTACAACCTGGAGTACTTCTCCGTAACACACACACCGTATGCGCTTCCAACCCCTCCTCCCCTTCCTGTTCTCAGAACGGCTATGGCGGCGAGCAATGAGCGCACTTAATGTATCCATCATGCACACATACAAAATGCACGCAGGGTGACAATGCAGCATGCAGAGCAATCACCTGATAGCAGAGAGCTGACTAAGTTTTTATAATACTCTGACATCACTGAGACACACATGACATGACCCTTCCCAGGATTCAGTGGGACACACAAAGCACTTTTCCTGAGAACCGGTTTAAACCGGTTAGCTTGTGTGTGTGTGTGTGTGTGTGTGTGTGTGTGTGTGTGTGTGTGTGTGTGTGTGTGTGTGTGTGTGTGTGTGTGTGTGTGTGAGGCTGTATTCCCGTTCCCACAAGGCATTTTTTAGACTCAAAATGTGGTTTTACTGTCAGGGTTACAATTGGGTTATTGGTGAGGGTTGGGCTAAGGAAAGCATTGTGTCA